TCGCCCTCTAAAGTTATTGTTTGTTGATTAATTTAGTTATCTTATTTAAATTTTATATTTTTTTTATGTAGGTATATTTATAAAAGATTTTTATGATTTTTTAATATTTTCATGCATTTTGACAGTGGTTTATATTCTAGAAAATGCTTATATTTTCACCCAATGCATAAGTCAAAAGTTAAGTCATAAGTAAACCAACAAATTATAGAACAATTCATTAGTTTAAACAGTAAATCAATATCTACAAAATGAAAATGGTAGTTAGAATGGAATTAGCAATAAAAAAATTATTAAAAAAGTTGCAGGTATTACATGTATACATTATTTAAAAATTAGTGATTGAATACTGTGACTGATCCGGGAGGGGGGAAGGGAGGTATGCTTTCCGACCTACTTCTACTCGATTTTTTATATGAAATTGGGAGAGCTGAATATGAACTCAAAGTATGATAAATGTTCCAATAACATTAACTGAAGCAAATTCATTTCTAAGCAATATTTCAAAATTATTAAGTATCAAAAGCCCTTTAGCAGTAATAGTTACTTGCTCGCTAAATAAAATATTACAGTTAAATGTTGACAAAATGAAGAACTGATGCAATTTTTCTTATGCTGACTCTAGTCACTATAATTAAACCCTAAATGTAATCATCCATGCTAGCATTATCTAATTGCTCTTGGTAACGCTTTAAATGTCAAAAAAAAAAAGAAGGGGGGGATCTGATGATGTTTTTTGAGGCCTTGTAACCATAATGTAACCAATATCTTTTAGTAATTTTGTTGCGACAATCTTGTGCTTTTTTACCCAAAACTTGTAGGGGAACTGGAGAATTTGATTTAATTTTTTCTCCATGTGCGAATATTTAATGTACTGTTGCAGGAACTCAAGAGTCATTCCATATCAAATCAACAGAAAAATAACATTCCGTGTCAAAATAAATGGCGTAACTTTGAATTATGCTAATTTTTTTATATATGTTATAGGGTTTATGAAAACTAGCATTATCTGAATATTAGAATCTCAAACTCCTTATGGTTCTTGAGATATTCAGGTTCTATTTTATGCTAACTTTTCGTTTACTGCAACATGCTTTTTTGTCATTAAATATTTAATGAAAAGAATGAAGTATCGACCTGAAATTTGATACATAGACAACCTTTCTTTGTTGGATTTAAACATCATATTAATTTACTTCCTGATTTCCTAGCTAATAGTAATTTATTTAATGTATTAAAAGTTTATCAAAATAAATTTTTAGTATAACAAGATATTTTCAAATCTGCATATGTTTTTTTGTGGCAGTTCGGCCATTTTTTTGTAGTTATACAACGACATAATGAACCTGATTTTTTGTAAATTGTAAATTGGAGGAGATGTTTTAAACGGGTTTTTTTCCGGCTTTATCGAAATTGACTTTTAATGTTTAATAAATTATTACTTGTATATTAAATAGCTGATTTTTAAAATTTTAAGAGATTATTCAAGCTATTTTTTTTTATTGAAAAGTAGATTTGATTAACTTTCAAACGACATATAATAATCGACTCTTCATTTGATTATATCACCTTAGCAGAGCGTTTCAAAAAAACACCTTCAATAAGGAAAAATGATATTTTAATCTAAAAATGTAACTTTGAATACTGATATTTTTCGAACTACAAATCATATTAGACTATTGCTTTGATATTTTCTTATCTATAGCGTAAGCTTTTAATCTGCCATGTTTTATCCAAATTGAAGCCAATGTTTTTTTGATTTTTGGCCAAACTGCGTCCCACTGTACTACCTGATTATACATAATTTATAACTGTGAAAGTGTAAAAGTGTATAACTAAATATATAACAAATGTACATATGTGCATTTGTTATATATGCAGTTACAATCATTTAAAAAATTATAATTAAATATATTACAGTTAACTAAATATAATACATTGAATATATTACATAATAATACATTATGTATATAATTGTAACACTTGTTAATTACTTATTAACAAGTGTTACAATTATATACATATTAATTAGGGCCGCCGAAAAAGAGAGCCAAAGGGGTACACGTGCCCCAGGCGCCAAGATAATAGGGGCGCCAGAATTCGAAGGACAAAAAAAAAGTTTTAGAAATGCAATATATTTAGGTTTTATTTTTTTTGCTTTTTCTGTTATGTATATTTTGAGTGTCTCTATAGAATTTGTTTCACATGATATTAGTTTTTTTTTTGAAAAAAATTTCCAGTTTATGAACCAACTATTGCTATTGTTTATGAACCAAATATTGTTATTGTTTATGAAACAACTATTGTTATTGTTTATGAAGCAACTATTGTTATTGTTTATGAAACAACTATTGTTATTGTTTATGAACCAACTATTGTTATTGTTTATGAAACAACTATTGTTATTGTTTATGAAACAACTATTGTTATTGTTTATGAACCAACTATTGTTATTGTTTATGAAACAACTATTGCTATTGTTTATGAAACAACTATTGTTATTGTTTATGAAACAACTTTTGTTATTGTTTATGAAACAACTATTGTTATTGTTTATGAAGCAACTATTGTTATTGTTTATGAAACAACTATTGTTATTGTTTATGAACCAACTATTGTTATTGTTTATGAAACAACTATTGTTATTGTTTATGAAACAACTATTGTTATTGTTTATGAACCAACTATTGTTATTGTTTATGAAACAACTATTGCTATTGTTTATGAAACAACTATTGTTATTGTTTATGAAACAACTTTTGTTATTGTTTATGAAACAACTATTGTTATTGTTTATGAAACAACTATTGTTATTGTTTATGAAACAACTATTGTTATTGTTTATGAAACAACTATTGTTATTGTTTATGAAACAACTATTGTTATTGTTTATGAAACAACTATTGTTATTGTTTATGAAACAACTATTGTTATTGTTTAAGGCAAACTTTGCAGATTTATTTTGGAAAAAAATTTTCATAAATATTTTTTTATAAATAAAATTTCATATGCAAACTTATTTTTCATAAATTTTATAACTATATTTCATAACTACTTTTTTCATAAATACTTTATTTTTTAAATACTGGAAATAAAAAAAAAAAGTATTTCAGAAATGATTATTCTGAAAATCTCAACGAAAGATTGTTATCTTTTGTTGGGGGTCGTCTATAAATTACGTCACCCAATTTTCGACTGTTTCTGACCTCCACCCACCCGTCACAAAATCGAAACAATACTATATGGACGACCCCTTAAAGTTTAAAAACTCCGTAGAGAGTTGTTAAACTTTAGTTAATTAAAGTTAGTTTTTATAAATATGATGATAAAATTAATTACGTTGCAACACTCAAAATGCATCGCTGTATACATCATTTCTGGTCAAAGATATTTGGGCATATTCACGGCATATAATATTGTATACAATCTAATTTCGGAGTCTTAACAAACCTGAATGAATCTTGCAACTTTTTATTGGAATTAGTTTACCGTGCATATTTAGTTGACAAATTTTACCAACTTTGCCAAAGCATTTAACACAGTGTCACGCAAAGACTTTTTCATAAAAATCATGTGTATGACATATCTAGCCTCAAGTGTTATCAAAGTATATTACTAGTTGGCAAGCTGATAAACAGCAACTGGAGAATAAACGTCCGATTGGAAAAAGATAATTAGTGGCGTCCCTCAAGGATCAGTTCTTCACCAATGATTTACCGGACTGCATTTATAATCAAACCAAATTATACGCCAATGATTGCAAAATCATAAGAGTTATTGATGTCAATCAATTTTTCTGATACAATGAAAAACTGCAAGCGGACATCGACAGCGCTGTATATTGGTCGCACAACTGGTTTGTGAATTTTACCGCTTTGAATTGCCAAATAATGCTAGATGGTTGTCGGAAAAAATAATTAACGGTATTAACACCATGGCTGATACAGATGGTAACGGACGTAATCTAGTTTTAACATGCTTTTAACTCAAACTTGGAGTACTAACATCTAAGAAACTCAAAATAAAAGAACGAGATATATAGAGCGAGAGCGTCTTTCGGAACCTTATGTTAAAAATAAATTGCATACATATCGTAAGTAATAATATTTTTTTTTGCTTTTTAAAAACCAAAAAATAAGGATTATTTTCATTATTAATTAAAAAAAAAACTGTCTATTAATACTAATTAGTGAATCTTAAATGTGTTGCATAAATATTATTTTATCTTGATGCGGTTCATAAAAATATAGATTAAAGTAATTAGAAAATAAAATTCCTTTTAGTAAAATGCAAGCTTATAGGGGCACCTAGTTGCTGCTTCTTATTTATATTATGATTTACGACTTGAATAGATTTATATGGCAAAAAAAAAATAAAAATTAAATCTTTGTTTAGAACTGAAAAAACGAGACTATCAATAGGTATTTCAATAGTTGTAATATTTTAGATTATATTTTCAGAATAAAAAAATTTTAAGAAAAAACTTTTGTTAAATATTTGTGATTAAGAAGAAATGTTGCAGAAAATATTTTGGAAGTATGTCAAGAGATGCAATTTTTTTTAAACACTACTTACCGTTTTAAAAACACACCCGCCATTTGCGAAGACCTTAAGGAGAACTAAAACTTGTTCAAAATTCTGAAATCACTTATACTCAAAGAACTTAATGAAGGCGTGATGACAGAATGTCATCAGGCGTGATGACATGATGACATTATATAATGTCCTCTTATAGTTTTTGTACTTGAACTCGGAAAATACCGTACGTTAACCAAAATTTGCCTTTTAAAACATTTTTTTTATGACGTGGAAAATTTTTAACAACCAAACCGGTGTTCCACTTTGTTCCGGTTCAGCATGAACCCTGGATTGCAATTCAGGGCCTGGAACCGGAAAAAAGCGAAAAGTGATATCACTATTTTCACTACAGTACTTTTCACTGAAAGACAAAAAAACGATTTTTTTAAATCATACTTAATTAATACGCATGCGCCAAAAAAGTAAACAAGAAACGATTGACCAGTTTAAACCGAAATCGACACTTTAATTCAGAAATTATGTTCGGGCAACAACAAACATGGCCTTGAAGTCAGCAGCGACAGCCACTGTTCGAGCAGTAAAACCTGGAAGTTTTAAATCCCGAAAAGCAGCTATAACACTGGTAATTATCAATTATGATAAATATGCCTAATGATATCTGTATTATTTTTTATATCTTATATAGATTAATAAATATAATTTTTTTTATTATAAGTCTGTTTACTGCTGTTTAAAATCACCTTAAAAATAGTTCAAATTACTTTTTTTTTCTCCATAAATATCTTTTTTCTTTGAATAGTTTTTCAACTTGATTCTTTGTCAACCAATTTAAATTTATTTTCCAGTTTCTTATACATTTTTATCCAATTGCAAATGTTAGACTTGTCCGCTTCTCATTATCTGACTTTTAAGTGAGTTAATTGCATTTCGTAAAAAAAATCGTTTACTTCGTTGTTTTTTTGGTACAAAATCCTTGAAAAACATTTATTTTCTGTAGTTAAATAGTATTATGTATAAATGTAACATGTAAAAGTTATGGTTCATATTTGTAAATAACAAAGTTACGTAAGTTAACCATTTTAACTGAAAATTTAATGTAGGTAAATTTTTTATTTTTAACTTATTTTAACACAAAATTCATTAAAATATTGTTAGATAAAAACCTAGCTTAGAGTTGTTACAGTAATAATTTATTAAAATACAAATATTAATGAATGCCTCTTTATCTAAGACATCTTTTTGAAGAAAATTTTTTGGCTTTATGCTTTGTTTTAATCTCATTTTAACTAATGCTGTAATAAAAATATTAACATTTTATGTTCACAATAAACATATTGTGAAGCCAAAACCTATCAGTTAAAATAATATTTATTATTGTATTATTAATATCTACTATTACTATCTATTATTCAATGAAAAGTTATTAGTATAATTTATTTTTTTCTAATATTTATGTTAATGAAGAGTTCAAAACACTTAAAAGTTTTAAATATTTTGATTTTATAAAAATTGAAAGGAGTCTTCGTATACATAGTTGGCTGAATTATAACATGACATTAATATATTAAATCATTATTTATGACATTAACGTTTGTTAAAGAAATTATGCCATAAACAATTAAAGTTTTTTTAGAAAACTAAATACCAGTTCAATTAGAAAACTGCTTCTTAAAAGTATATGGTGATATTCATATGCTATATACTTTATGGATGATGTTAGCTTAAATATGTGTTGAGTAATATTCAAGTACAATTTTGTAAATAATATACATTACCATAAACAATTTGGATTCAAATCTTACCATAGCTATTTCTCCACTTTCAGCCGTTCCACTGGTTATGCAATTACTCACAATTGTTCATGATTTAAGCTTTTGATGAAGGTAGTTAAATCAATAAACACACACTTGGTGTAAACACACCTTGGTGTAAACACACCCTTGGTGTATTTATTGATTTAATTGAAAATTTTGATACAGTCAAGCATCAAATCCTTCTCTCTAATCACAAAATTTATGGTATTAAAAAATTAATAAGTGAACAATCAGTGAAGAGATTTATGTGTAGATGAAAATGTAACCTGTAGAAACTGGATTAGTATATATTTAAAGATAAAATATCAAAAAATTATTGGTATAATGTAAAAAGCCAAGCAGTTAATTGTATTCCAAAAACATGTACTTTTCTATTATTCAAACATTGCCTGGTGCAGCACTAATGCAATAAAAAAAATTGCTAAGTAAACAAAAACAAGCTAAATTTAAAAAAAAAAGACTATTCTTATAACTTGTTTTTAAAAATCTATAATATAAGTTTAATTTTTAACAAGATTAAAATAAATAAATATATCTATAACTATCTATAACATTTCTATAATCTATAACTTTTTAGTTTATAACAGTCAAAGAACTAAGTTTCTAACTTTTATTTAAAATAAGTTGAACAATTGAAGAAATTTTATTTAAAGTTCAACACTTGAATAGTTCAATAATTAACTTGTTAATTATATTAGTAACAACTTCTTTATAAATGTGTTTATTAATATATAAAAGATTTAATTTATCATTTTAGTCATTAACTTCATACTGACATCTGGTGCTCGTATAAAGTTTTTCTTCTTTAGAGAACGAGTATAATAAGAATATGTTACACAAGCTTCTATAGCCTAAGTAAACACATACTTTTTATTTGTCATTGAAAGACAAGTGTTTAATGCATTTACTAAATGCAAGACCAAATTTCAATACAGTTTTGTTTACTTTAAATTTTGGCACCTGGTCCCAAATTTTGTCTTCTACACACTCTAAGTTTTAATGCATCTTTCCAGCAAAGGAAATGTTGATACCCAATAATTAGTACTTTTATACTAACTTGTACAAACAACCTTGATCATTACTTGATCATTACTTGATCAACCTTGATCGTTACTGCATAGTGGGCCCCGAGGTTGAAATAAAAAAAAAAATTTTTTTGAGAAAGCCTATAAAAATTATTTATTCAGAAAGTCAGATAAATTTTTCAATGAATAAAAAAAAAATTATGTATCCAGCTAATTTCTTATTTGATGATATATAATTTTGTTGACGAATTTCCAAACTATTTTTGTATTTACGGAAATTTGTGAAATTCGATTGGTTTTCGTTTAAAATTAATTTATCAACATAAAAGTTGCTAAACCGCTTATGTAAAATAATTTTATTCAAAACCACTTATGTAAAATAATTTTATTCAAAAATAATTTTGAATAAAATTATTTTATTCAAAATTATTTTTGAATAGAATAATTTAAAATGTATAATTTATTTGAATTACTCTTTTTTTATTGAGTTTTTTAAACTTAACTAAATAATTTTGTTGTAAATTTATGTTGTTGTTTTTCACAAAAAAACAGAATAATTCTTATTTTTTTTCAAAAGTGCTAATTTGCCTCTTATGTGTCATACATTTTTAAAATATAGTGCATTTCTTTTTTTCAAATATTTTAGTGGGACTGAGGCAAGTTAGCACTTTTTTTAAATTTACAGGATTTAAAAAGGTTGAACAGTGACTATTTTTTTCTTTCTTAAAATATGAGAATATTTAATTTTTAGTTAAAAATATGAAAAATATTTAACTTTCATATGTTTATTTTATTTGATTTTGTTTGTGTTTAGCATAAGTAAAGTAAGCTAAAAAATAGATGTAATGAAGGAAAATAAAAAATATAAAATACATCAATAAAGTAGATTTATTCACACAGTTTTTTAAAGCGGGCTAAACTATTAAGGCAAACTCAGTTATATATTCTGCCATAAAAGAAATACTTTGAAAATGTGTGTGAAAAAGTATGGAAATGTTATAAACGCCTGAAAAAATAAAATATGTATAAAAAAATAATTATATGCCTTTATAACTTCGTAATCATCAAAAAAAAAAAAAATTATTTTTTATTTTTTAACATCTTTGCTTCCAACAAGGCTGCAAGCAACCACTAATTAGTGTTGGAACTAATTAGTTACTGGAAGAGAAAAGATGAAGATTGTAGAGCAAAATAACGATTGACAGACAACTTAAAAAATTGCAAATTATATGAATCAGGAAAGCAAGATGAAAGAAGCGAATTCCAAAGAACTAATGTTTAAGGAAAAAAACTAGACGAATAAGAGTTTTTGGAGCACTTAGGAACAGTAACAGAAAAAGGATGAGACTTAATTGAATGACGAGTAATACGAGAATGAATGTTAGTAGATGGCACAAGAGACGCTAACTCTTTAGAGCAGTGCCCATTATAGTATTTGTAGAAAAGATTAAGAGAAGCAACATTACAACGACGTGACAGAGGGTGAAGGTTGGCTGCAAGAGCAGGTCCAACTATGTTTACAATGCGTTTTTGCACCTTGTCTAAAGGAGAAAGGGCATCATTAGAAGATCCGCTCCAGATATGGCAACAGTATTCCATACAGGGACGGATTTGAGATTTATAGAGATAGAGAATAGAATCTGGAGTAAGAAAGTGTCGAGCTCGATAAAGAGATGCAACCTTAGCAGATGCTAATTTTGCAATGGATTTGATATAAGGTTTCCAAGAATGATCAGAAGTGAGAGTTAATCCTAGAAGATAAAGGGTAGATGACTCATCGAGTACATTACCGTTCATAAATATAGGAAAGTGTAAATTATTTTGATAACGATTGGCTGAAAAAAATTGAGTTTTATCTGAATTAAAGTTCACCAGCCACTGTGAGCCCCATGCTGTAGCAGAAGTGAGATCCTTTTCAAGCTCAGATGCCCCCTGCAAGCAATCAGAAGGAGTTGGCTTATTGTGACAAGAATAAATGGTAGTATCATCAGCGAACAATGCCACCTTAGATGTGAGAATATCTGGAAGATCGTTAATGTATATTAAAAAGAGTATAGGGCCAAGGATTGAACCTTGAGGAACCCCTGAGGTTACAGAATAAGAAGAAGAGTGCTGTCCATCGAGGACAACTTTTATACTACGATTGGAAAGAAAGGATTCAATAATCTTAAAGATGTTTCTACATACACCGTAAGAAGAAAGCTTATGGAGAAGACCAGCATGCCAAACTTTATAAAACGCTTTAGAAATGTCAAGAGCAATGGCCTTAACCTCTCCACCTTTATCTAATGCGTGATAAAACCTATCGCTTATTACTGTTAGCAAATCAGCCGTAGAACAAAAAGATCGAAATCCATATTGATGATCAGAAAGTAGGTTATGAGATTCAAGATAATAGATTAAGTGTTTGTTAATTAAAGATTCAAAAACCTTGCTTTTGATGACTAATGGAACGATAGTTATACGAATCAGATCGCTTTTAAAAAATAGGGATTACAGATGCTGCTTTCCAGCAGGCTGGAAAACAAGACTCTGATAAGCACTTGTTAAATAGTTTTGAAAGGATAGACAACAGCTCCGGAGAACACTTCTGCAAGACTATAACAGGTATGTTGTCCGGGCCGCAAGCTGTAGAAGAGTCTAAGCAGGAAATCACTTTAGATACAGAAGCTGGAGTGATATGGATGTCGAGCAATGGATCAACCTGTTTGACAACTATGTCAGGTAGAATGCAACTAGTGGAGTCAAGAGATGATATTGATGAAAAGTTCTTAGCAAACAATTCAGCTTTGTCTTTAGGCGAGGTGACAAAGTCTGAACCAAACAAAAGAGGTAGAATTACAGACTTTCCCTTATTATTGATACTATTAAAGATTTTTCAGAAGTCACGAGAGCCTAACTTTTTTGATGAAATACGAGATTTCATGATCTGAGAATAGCGGGCTTTGGCATTAGACAAAACCTTTTTGTAATGGTTCCTAGCAGTAATAAACAGATGTCTGTTTTCTGGAGAATTGTTTTACTGATAGATATGGAAGTAATGGTTTCTATTGGCAATTGCAGCAGTACAATGAGAGGAAAACCATGGAGAAGAGTGAGGCTTGACCTAGAATCGTCGAGCGGGAATAAAGGATTCCATTGCAGCCTGAATCCACGAAGTTATGTAAGAAGCACATTTGTCAATAGGAAGACAAAAGATTTCTACCCAGGGGCCATCACAAAGAAAATCACGGAAAGAGTCCCAGTCAGCCTAAGGTAGTTGTAAGATGTACGATGATAGGGGGATTCTGATGATAAAGAAGAATGAGATAATAGTTTTAGAGAGACCAAACCATGATCGGATGTACCTAAGGGTAAGTGTGGAGAAACTGAGCACTGACTAGGATTAGAAACAAGACATAAGTTGAGTAGAGAAGGTAGTGATTCAGGTTATCTAGAAAGCGAGTTGGAAAGTTGACTATTTGAGTTAGGGATAAATATACTATTAATGAAGTTGAGGATGCTTACAGGACCGTATATGTATATTTATATTCATATATAAATGGGACTAACTTGTCATATACATTGAAGACTCTGGGTTGAAAAAACAGGACTGCTTGGTAAACCAATATGTAATGCAAGAGACAGGTTTATTATTGAAATTAAAAAAAACACCGGAATGCAATTAAATAGAATTAGATGTGTTGCAATTTGGTGGGAAGGGAGGGCATCAATCACAGAGTCATTAGGAAGAAGATTTTTAGAACATAAAATGTTTGTGCCCTCTTATCTACAAAAAGAGCATGTTATTATTACATTCTTAAATTAATGTAATACTTTGTATAGTTTCATGCTGACAAAATTAAATGGATAAATTTCAAGAATTATGTAATAATGCTACACTTAACGTTAACTTAAATATACCATGGGCAAAAATTAACATCTTGGAGTCTTTCATCACTCATCTGAATTATTCATTCTTAATAATGGTTATGGCCCCACTTAATTTTTTATTTAAAGTTTCATAAATTTGAAAACTATTATTATACTATATAAATATAAACTTATATAATATTTAATAACTAAACTTAAAACAAACTTACAAAGTCACCTCATTTTATGGTAATTTTTTAATTAATTTTGATTTAACAAATTGTATGATATTTCTCTTCCATCCAGTATTTACATTTACTGAATTGCCACTTAGTACTTGTATTGATTTATCATGTTTAACAATTGTTAACAAAAGTTTTTGCAACAATTTTTTTCTTAAGTAAAAGTTTTATCGGTAAAATAAAATAAAAACTTATCACCATGCAGTGTAAGTTCTTTTTACTGGTACATTCCATTCACTTTTAATTTACAACTTCCTTAAAATGCATAGTTTAAGTTTTCTTAGATAATTGCAAAAGGGTTTGTTTTTAGTCATTAACAAAACTTATTTTATTTTCCTCTGTTGCATTTCCTCTTTCTTTTTAAAATATTATTTTAAACTGGTGTAAAATATTCTTTTAAACTTGTCTGTTGTGTTCAACAGTTAACAAGGTAATAAACATAGGTAATAAGGTAAAAATTTATCTCTTTCAATTTTTATACAAATATAATATTATTTTCAATAAGGTTTTTATTATTTTGTTCAGTTTTTGTGTCACTGTTCCTTTAATTGAGCAGCATTTGGAAGTTTATCTCCATCAAAAATTTAATGAGTAACAATTTTACCAGAAAAATAAATTTAATTCAGCAAGTTTTATTGTTTTTATAGCTTTGTTAAATGTTGCCACAGTTCTCTCACTCTCTAAGTCTATCTCTCTATCTTTCTCTCTATCATATCTCTCTCTATTTATTAATCTCTCTATCTCTCTCTATCTCTCTCTTTCTCAACCCTATGACTACAAAGAAAACCTAATATTACAAACCTTGATTGCTAAGAAATGATTTAAAAATATTCTCACATTGTAGTTTAACAATGTCTTTTTATTTTTTCAACAATGTTTTTCTTTATGCTCTATATGTAGCTGTGCATTTTTTCAAACTTAGATGATGACCATGATTGGTCTTATTTATAATGTTAAATCCACTTTTTCATTACATGTATTTATAATTCAAATATAATTTCCTTAGAATTCAATATTTATAAGTATTGATTTTATTTTATTAGTAAAAAAAAAAAAAATTAAGTTGAATTTTTGCACCTTTTTAAATTTTTTTTTAATTTTAATAAATGCTGACCTAACCTAATTGGAAAATTTAATTTAATTTTTCTTGAGTTTTTAAGTTCTTAAGCTCACAATAAATTTCTCATCTTTAAAACTAAAAAAGCTCAACATATTTAAATGTTTTTTATTTAATTTTTAGACAAGTTCAGCAGTACAAAGAGTTAAAGAATTATTAAAGGAAAAACCATCTTCTGTAAGTTTTTATTATTTTCATTGTTATGATGTGTTTCCTCAAAGTTTTGAATGCAGTCTTTCTTTTTTATGCTGCTGTTCAAAACTTGTCCCAGGCAATAACTGAGTGAGACCCCTAGGTCATTTTTGCAATGCCTTAAGTTTCTTTCCCAATTAAGCTCCATTTAAATTAAATGGAGCTTGGTTGGGAAAGCAAAACATTAAAAATTAATTTTTTTCATATTAATTTTTCAACAAAAAGTCTAGATAAACTAAAGGAAAATTCTCCTACTAAAGAAGGAGCTCTTAAGCAACTAAATGTTCCTTCTGAGCAACTAAATAATACTTTTGAGCAACTAAATAATACTTCTGAGCAACTAAATGGTACTTCTAAATAACTAAAACATTAAAAATTATATTTTTTTAATGATACTAAGTTAGTTTCTTTCTCCGAATTGAAAATCTTATTGGTGACACATTCATTGTTTCACATTTATTACATTGAAAATCTTATTGGTGATACATTCATTGTTTCACATTCATTACATTTTTAATTATTTGAGTAATTCAAAAAGTTTTACCAAGTTATGCTTCTTATATATAATATTAAAATTAACATTTAATGTTGTTACTCAAAACATTGTTTTGTCAATTTGTGCATTATAGTTTGATTAGTTTGTGTTTGAGAATTTGAAAAACATTGTTTAATAAATTTGTGTTCAGAAATTTAAAAATATTCCATTTAGTCATGATAGAAAAGTTTTTTGGTTTTGAAACAAATATTAATGATTTTGATAGTAAAATATTGTTGCTTAAGAAAACATCACTAAGTGTCAAAAAGCAAACCTTTCAGGAGAGATAAAAAAATTTACACAAAACAATGCAAAAAGTTGTAAATACTTTTGATTTACATGTTAAACCATTAGAAAGTATTTATTAGGTTTTATTATAAGTTGTAATTTTGATGTTTCCACGGAGATACACAAAGCACAATTGCTCCAAAAATGTCACTTAGGTAGTTTCTTAAGCGGCAATACACTGTTTCTTAAGCAGCAATACACGAAGGTGGTCTGAAAAGTTTCCAACCTCAACATGAAGATAGCAGCACTTGTAATTAAAAGCTAGTAAATTTCGTTATTCATCTATTGACAGTTACTTACCAAAGTTTGGTGAGTAACTGTAAGTTTGGTTGACATATGTGCGTCCAAAAGCCATTTTGGATGCACATTTGTAGGTTAACAATTGTTTGAGTGAGTTGATGGGAGTGTTTCTGTGAAAATGGCCAAATTTGAATACCAAGCTGTCATGAAATGTTTGTTTTTGAAAGGCAGTATGTCTACGCAAAAATTCTCAGCGATTGCCATGGCAAAAATCCACTAATTAAGATCTGAACTGCTTGACCATCTGCTTTACTCACCAGGTCTAGCCCTCTAGTGGTTTCCTTTTGTTCCCTCATCTAAAAATAGCGCTCAAAGGACAGAGATTTTTGTCAAATGAAGATCACCTTGGTGAACAATTATTAGCAGAAAAAAACGCCGAGTACTATTTTGGCGAGTTACAAAAATGGGAGTACTGGGACAGTTACTAAGAGAATATGTTAAAAAATAAAAAAAAAAGTTCATCAAAATTACTTGTATCTTTTTAGGTCAAAAACTTTTCAGACTCGAATTTAAAAAAAAAAAAAACTTAAACAACGTCCTATTAAATAATTATCGCAACTTTAGTTTATTGCTATAGTAACTACGTATAAACTAAAAATAATAAATATAAGCAATTAATATTGTTGATAAACTATATTTATTAACAATATTATTGGTAAACAGCGTTACTGTATAAAAAATAAAATACCTTTACCTCATTGATAAATATTTCTAATATATTATAATTTAAAATGTATTGGGAATATATTGTAATATATAATATATTATAATTAGAAATTAGAAAGTTTTTTCTGCTGAAAATCAACTTGACTCTTTGAAATCTTTTTCAATTCTTTTTCAAAAAGACTACATTTTTCATCACTTGAATGTTTAAGATTCATAGGATTACCAAGTTCATCATTATGATAAAGATAAAACATTAATTATATTCGCAATAAAAAAGCTTTAAAGTTTTGTTTCAATATATTTTTGGTGATTATTTTCAGGTAGGACTACGTATAGGTGTCAGGGAAAGAGGGTGCAACGGCTTGTCTTATACGTTAGAATATGCTACGGAGAAAAATAAGTTCGATGAAGTTGTGAAACAGGATGGTGTGTAATTTTGTTATGGACTATTTTTTTTTTTTTAATGGAGTTGTATTTTTTACTTAAATTAAATAAAATGTACATATTTATTTTCAGATGTGCAAATAATGATAGATTCAAAAGCTCTTATGTCTCTTATTGGAACAGAGATGGACTATTCTCAAAATTTATTGGCAAGCGAGTTTGTTTTTAACAACCCAAATATAAAAGGGACGTGTGGATGCGGAGAAAGCTTTCATATATAATGCACTATGTTGTATAAAATCCAGAAAATAATTTATTCTCCTTGTTTGCTATAAAATAGTCTTTTTGAAGAAATCTATATTTTGTAATATTTAAAAATAAACGTGTTTATTTAAAATTTACTTTTAAGATTAAAGAAGATGAAGACAATTCTCATTGTTTTTTTTATCATTGTTTTATATGTAAATACTTGACGATTTTTATTTGTAAAATTTATTAATCTTTATAAAATGTCTTTCTTTAGATAAATGTTTTTATATAAGTTTATATAAATTGTTTTATATAAGTTTCTGTATAGAAATTGACTCTTTATAAGATACCATTTTTGCAATGCGATGGTAAGTAATTTTATACGCGTTGAAAATCGGCCACCCTGTTGTGGAAATAATTTGCTTGAAAAAAAATCCTCCTATTAACGGTGCGCATTTTTAAAACCATTCTAACTGATGAAGTTGGATGTGTCATACTTTTCAAAATTAAATTTTGTTTTCCGTCATTAAAAATAAAGGTAAGATTTTATATTAAAAGTTCGGAACTGTTATAAAAACAAAATATATTTTAGCTACCAAGGAATCGGGGACACCGTTTTACCAAAACTTTAAGTGGGGTTAGGAATAGTAACGTAAAAAAAGCCTCATAATAACGTAAAATATAACAAGTCCAATTTTAAGAAGTCTTAGTTACTAAGGAACAGTAACTAGGTAACTCTTCTTTGTACAGCTTCACCTCTTTGATAGCCATGATTTGACTGATTTAAAAAAAGACTCAGTTTCAAATTTGGTTCCTTTATCGAGTGTGTTTTTAATAATTAACTTACTTGATAAAGCCAGAGCCGACAACACCGGGCAAGGAAGGGGGGGGGAGGGTAGGAAAAAATATTTTTCCCCTGCTTCTCCTCCCGGTAACACACTTTTTTGTGAAGAACCCATTTTTTACCGCTTTTAGATTATCCGTCTTAGAAATAAATCCTCCGTTTACTCATGTAAACTTTGGCTGCAGTTGTTCTTAAACCATTATATCTACTAATAAACCACTATATTTAAACTACTCTTAACACGACGATCTGTTTTCTGATACTTAACAGTTAGTGGAAGTGGATTTTCGGTTTTTTGCAGTTTTTATTCTGTTCTACCTATTAGAAAAAGAATAACAGTTTTAATTCTTTTTAAATGGTTTTCTGTTTTATATATATATTTTAACTAATAACTATGTATTAGCTGAAAAAAAAAATCTCAATATCATATTTTGACTTCAAGTTATAGAGCATTGAAGTTGTGCGTTCCGTCTATTCTTGTATTCCGTCAGAATATTTTATTTTTATGCTATGCATAATTTTCAATTTCTAGTTTAAAATATATATCTCACTCTTTAACTTTAAACAAAGTTAAAATATTTTTTTATGGTTTGATATCTAAGTATTTATTTCTAAGTATTTCTAAGTATTTATTTTTTAAATTATCTTTTATATTATAACTATTATATTTCTAAGTATTTATTTATTTTATCTAAACTAACATACTTGTTCAATTTTTTTTTTTGAATAACTTTTTTCTATCTTACATCTGTTTTGGGTTATAATAAAAAGGCGAGAAAATTAGAAAAAAACTTTTTAATGCAATAAAAATATTTTTTAAAGTTTTCGTCATTTAAACTCTTCAATTTAAACTCTTCAATTTACTATTTAAAAATGGAGTAGATAGAAATAGAAAGCTTTGGTGAGAAAATTTCCCAAAAATAACGTGTTTGTTTTTTCGTTTCAAATCTCATTTTTAAATTAAATGTTAAAATTTTCTTGTACATGCTGAGAAATATGTATTTACGAATCTCTTTATGAATTCACTCTTGTTTTTCTTTTGTTCGTTATCTTCCGCAATTTTTTACCTTTTTCAGCCATCTTTGACTCATCAAATTAGCGAACCTTTAGGTACTTCGGCACCATTAAATAAGTGAGAAAGTTAAATTTTTGATTTTAGTAAAATATCAATAAAAGTTTAACGAGTAATCCAAAAAGAACTTAAAAAAACAACTTTTTTTATTTTCAATTCATAAACTTTTAAATTACTTTGAGTTATTACGGTTGTTTTTTATTAGATATTTTGTATTACAACGGTTGCTAAGATGCCATTTTCTTAGATTAATTTGAGTTAACTTGCTCTAATTTGAGATTATTAGTTAAATAAAAAATTTAAGTTTGATGTTTAGTATGAAAAATTATAGAATAGTTTTAGTATGATAATACACTGCCAAAAATATGTTTTTCTCGTTTCATATTTATAGAAAAACGTTCATCTTATATATGTGCTATGGTTTTCATTTATTGCATCAAAGTTAAATAATAGCAAATAGAAAAAAATATATACAAAAGAAATAAAATATATTTTATGGTGACCAGCATGTAAAAAATAGGTGTATTTTACCGTAAATTATCTTGTAAGATTAGGTCTGTATTTTTTTGATTTAACTAAAAGTAGACTAATCTATGAATTTATTTATTCATTATTATTAATCTATTTGGAAACCGAGTGACACGAAATTTATTATTTATTTGTTAAAAACTCTAACCTATATTTTAATATATATTATGATTACTTTTATAAATGAAAAAAAAGAGGAGTTATACGTTTTAAATCTTTTACGTTTTGAACCAGTTTTTATGTAATGACGAGTCCTATTTAAAATTATTTTTATATTATTTATTTAAATGCTAATATTACAAATTTGAAGTAAATCTAAAGTAATGGATTTAAAAAAAATTATGATTTAAAAAAAAAGCTTGTAAAAATAACGATTTAAGATTAGAATTTGACAAATTTTGATATAGTAACTTTTAGTATAAAAACCAATTGCATTATAAAAGTTAAGAAAAATATAGATTTTAATATTAAAATTTATATTTATATTGGTTTTCAACATTAATGTTGAAATCCAAATAAGTTTGTATCACACTTTTTCTAGCATCTCTCTATACAAAAATTCGCATCTTTTAAATTGCATAACTTTAAAAATACTTAAGCTACAAAGATGGTTCTTTTTTTAAGAAAACACAATAAGACAATTAGAAATAAATAGACTACCTCTCTACTGAAAAAATTGTTTTTTTGAACTCTGGCCCATCTGGATGACATTTATGGACTCATTCAGATTTTGTGTTTTACAGTGGAGACATTTCAATAGTAGTTGATCGTCTTTTTTTTCTGGCAGGTTTTTAATCTATACTGGAATTGCGTTTGGTGGCATATACTAGGCCGGGTGAATAAAAATGAGTAACTGCTTTTTCTCATTAATTGGTCAGTTTTATGTGAATAAAAACTTCAGCAGTTTTGCTCAAATTTTTTTTCACGTTAATTTAAGCAATTTACTCAGTAATTGCTCAGTTTAACGTGAATAAAAAACTTAAGCAAATTTCTTAAAGTTTTTATTCACATAAAACTAACCAATTACTGAGTAAAAGCAATTGCTCATTTTTATTCACCTGGCCTACTGATTTGTTTTTAAAAAATCCACTTTAACATAGACTTAAGGGGTTAAACAAGGGGGTTTTTTTTGTTGCTGAGGCGTTGTTAAGGTCAACAGTTTTCAGTAACTCTTGAAAAACGCAATTTTTAAATGTTTTATGTTGTCAAATAATAACAGACGGTTACATCAAATGAAACAGGATAAAATTTAAAAAAATGTATAAAAACAAAATTTTGACATTATTTACTATTATTAGTGTTCCACCTTAAGATAACAATATTATTGTAAAATTTTCTCACACCTTACAGCACGCGAAAGCATCTACAAATGACAACAACAAACATGAAACAACAGATTCAACTGCAAGATCAACAACAAGCAATCACTTGGATTTTGTTGATAACCATAATGTTTCCTTGTAGAGACAATATTAATACAATTTTAAATTCGATAAATCGTGTCTCTTCAAAAAAAAAATTAAGCAAATGGGTTGGGTTTAAAAGCTCAATATCAGTTGCAGTATTTTATGCTGATGTTATGAAACATTTATTTCTAGTTTAAATAATACTCCAGAACAAACTGGTCAGAAATCTTTCGATGTTAATACTAAATCTATTTGTGCTTTTTGTGCGTCGTTAATGAAAGTGCTATAAACATTTCTATGACAAAGAACTTAGTTGTGCCTGTTGGTATAAACTCTAACGATAATATAGATGACATTTTTTTAATTCAAGTTTTTAGATAAAAGATGATATTTATTTCATAGCTAATGGTTTAATTTCTACAAACATGACAACACTACTTCTGAGTGTATACTTTTATTAGGTTGAACCTGTCAAAAATCCGTCGAACCTTTAAACAGTATTGCTTCAGTTATCTCACAATTGTAAAACATTAAACAAAAAATGCAAGGCTTGTCCTATTTGATCTAAAAAGAAAGGTACTAATGAATACAATAGAGTATAGAAAAAGAGATGTCACATATTATGTGAGAGCTCTTCCATGTGGCCTATTATGCCACATAAATTACAACAAATCTATGAGTTCCATGGAGTCAAGTAGAACAGTTGTAACACTTCATAAATCAGTTTAAGACACAACTTAAATTATAAAAGAATTACATTAGGATGGGAATACAAGTTGATACCTAAAAGTCGTAGGATCATAGTTTCATAAACTGGAATGTGTTGAGCATAAACTGGAATGAATTGAATATACACTCATTTTTATTTATTTGTTTATAATTATCACGAGTTTTAAAGCTTTACAATGAGTAACTGCTAATAATTATTTTTTAATTGCGTATTTTTCGAAAATAAGTATAAAGTAAAGGCGTTTTGAAAAAAATGCAATAGAATATATGTAAACTTGAATGTTTTCTGATCCAATATGTATCCAAACAAAAAAAAGAAACAATCTACTTCTTGCAAGTTCAAATCAAAACTTAGTCAGATTTTGGCAATATCGTCTCGCACTCATAGTAGTTAAGGTGCTTTTCGTCAGTGGGTTATTAGTTTAAACAATCAAAAAATTTTCATTAAGTATCTGGTCTGCAAGATAAACAATTAGAGTGTTTAAAGAAAAAACACCAAAAATCTAAACTGTGGACTGCAAGCAATCTTTTAAAATTTATTTAAAATGTAATGTGCCTTTCATAATTTTATGTTATATAATTTAATATAATACAATTGCTGTATATTATGGAATCCTAACTTTAGCTATAATACGCCGTAGCGCAGTGGCTAGCGTGCTGTACATTATGGAATCCTAACTTTAGCTACAATACGCCAAAACGCAGTGATTAGCGCGCTTCACTCAAAAACAACAGATCCGTGGTTCGACGCTACCTTTGGGCAAGTTTTTATAACATTGGTAAGGAAGAAGGCGTGAACTTCCTTTTAAATGCTCATTCGCGGTGCTCTGTGTTAAGGCCGTAAGAACTTCTTAGGGCAAGTAAAATATAAAAAACAACAAAAACTTTCTTTTTTTCTCTTTTAAGTAAAGACTTTGCTTGATGCTGGAATTATTTTAGCTACTGCAAAGACATTTAGACAATAGGATATTTCTCAAGAGTATAGAAGAAAAAGAGCAATTACTACTTTGTGCTTACTTTTACTTATTAAGCCAAAAAGCTTACAACTTTGAGCGAAGGCGGATATATAGGAGGAGGAACGGAGAATGGAGGGAGGAAGAGGGGGGGAGAAGGCGATAGCCCCCCATAGATATTTTTGAAAAAACTTTTTTTGTAAATTTACATATTTAACAAAGTATGTTGTTTAAGGTAAATCAAAGGGGCTGTTTAAAAGTGATTAGAAATTTTAATAAATTTGTATGGTGCAAAAAACAAACCGTGCTATTGGGATATGATTATGACGTAATTTTATAGTTATATAGATTAAAACAGTATAGGACTAATATTCTAAAAAAACTTACTAACCCCCCCCCCCCACTTATTTAATAAGAGTCTGGATTTACTGAATCGAATAATCGCATCCCCCTCACTCCTTCATGGATGGTCTGAATCCACCAAATCAACAAAAAACCTATAAAAAACTCCTCCTTATTAGATGGTCTGAATCCGTCCCCGACTTTGAGTAAAAAAAAAAAAACATTTTTTAGGAAATTTATTGATATTAAAATTTTGTAAAAGTTCTAGCTCTTTTGATGTCAGAATTAAGGACGTAACAGTGGGTACATGACCTAAAAAAGACGTCTTTTGAAAGTTCAAAAGACGTCCAAAAAACGTCCTAAACGTTCAAAAGACGTTTAAAAGTTGTTTTTTTTTACGTCCGTGACCACTGGGTTTTTACTTTTTTAATTTTATTTTAAACGATTTTAAGTAAACCGACTGAGCAAAACCCAAAAGAAGTTCAAAAAGAGACTTTATAAAAGTCTTAAATTTTGTATAAACAAAAAAAAAAACTCCAAAGAATTTTTCTTAAATACAAGCGGAAGTTGTAGTAAACAAAAATAATTTTACATTTATTTCATTTCATTTAAAACTTAAGTTATGGATTGTCAAAGATTTTTTTTTAATTTCGATTTAAGTTTTACTAATGTAGTAATTGAATAGTAAACGTAGTATTACAACGTAGTTAAGGTGAATTATTCGCCTTAACTACGTTGAGTTCGACATTCAAACTCTTGGAGTTTCTTATTCCAAGAAATTATTTTAGCATGGGACTAAAATTTACATCGCTTCCCGCATTAATAATACCACAAAAATATTGAAAATAAAAAAAGCAATAAAAAAATATTTCAAAATTTTATTTTATGAAAGTTTTACTTACAAAAAGCGGAAAAAAGTTTTGCGTTATTTACAATTTCAAACTATTTGTTTTTAAATAATTGATTCACTAAAATAAATGTACAATAATCAGAGTTGCACATAATCCAACTTTTCAAAGGGATACTGCAACGTAAAAGTAAAAAAAGATATTTATATATAATAATAATAACTCCACTGGTTATTATTCGCCAATGATAATTTCATGCAGCAACTCAATTTCTATTTTTTTTTTTTTTAGAAAATACCACGTTCACTTTCCACTAATGGCAACAACTTCCATTTTTATATTTGCAGCATTAAATTATCTTTTTCTTCTATTTTCTTCCGGATTTTAGCTCTTCAACTAAAAATATTATTTCATGTGTATGTTATACAGTAAATATTTAATAAATAAAATATATTATATTAAAAATAAAAAAAATCTGCCAGTCAACATAAATATCAATTTTATTTTGCAATCAAATAATTGTTCAATTTTGATCAATAAGTTCAATAACTTTTAAAACTTTCAGGAGCTATTCAGGAGACAATAAAGATTCTAGAGATATTAAGGAGACATTAGAGATTCTGGAGATATTGAGGAGGGTTTTATTATGATTTTAATAATTGTATATAAAAAATTATAACGAATGTTTAGTGGAAAAATACAAATTACAAAAAAAAAATGGAATTCATTGTTTTTCATTGTTTTATAAATGAAATTGTAATTGTAAGAATAGATGACTTGCGAATGTTAACATTCTCATTTTCAAAAATACATGCGCGCGCATACTTATAGGCAAAAAAAAACAATCGGTAATTTTCCAGCAAAAAACATTAAGTTGTTTGTATGTTTTGTTGAAAAATTTATTCACTTATTGATTTTTTTAACAAGAATTAAATTATTTCAACCAGTTCTTGTGTCATTAGTTACTCAAATGATGTCAAAACTAATAAGGGTTCAAAGTTGATAAAGTTTCTTTTCGAAAATCAATTTTTAAACAAAGAAGACGTAGAGATGGGATTAAAGCTAATCTATGACATAGAAACTGGATTAAACCAATTCATATCATTTCATAATTAAAGTTGTTTTTAGTTTAATCCAAAAAAAGAAAAGAGAAAAGTATGCTAAAGTATAAAAACGAGGTCCCTTATCAATATTATCATCTACGATATAGACCTTGATTACACCAAACCAAGTCTACTATTTTTAAATATTTTCAACACAATATTTACAAAGCAGAATTTTAAACATTTTACTTTTAATATAGTACTTAAAAAAACATATTTCATACCAAAACATATTTCATACCAAAATCTAAGTAAACATATTTCATACCAAAATCTAACATCAGATCAATAAAAAAATTTTTTTTCATACTTATCTTAAATGGTAATGCATCTCTTTAAAAAAGTTAAAACTTACTTCACTCACTCTTGATGTTAGAGGACCATCTTTATTTTGTGCTAATAAAGCACAATATAATAAAAAATTTTAACTTCATGATAGCAAACTTGGTTTAGTTATAAATATATCAATACCATTAAACTTCTAAGTGATATATAATAAACCAGCTGGGGCAACTAATTTTTTTATCTCCTGACTGGATGATTGTGTATCAGACAAATTACTATATCAGAATAAACTTTTATCAGAAACTTAAACCTGGTAGCTATATTCTTGCTGACAGAGTGATGTTGGTAACTGTATTCTTGCTGACAGAGTGCTGTTGGTAGCTATATTCTTGCTGACAGAGCAAGAGTATAGCTATGTTGTAAAACAGTTAATAGTTATTCAATAATTATTGTGTTTTTTTATGTAAAATATTGTCATTGTATCTTTAAATTATATATTTATCAATTTGCTGAATAAAGTCTTCTATACCAGCTTGAGTTTGAACTTGCTCTTATAAACTCACTGCATCAGGACTCAATATTAAAAACTTAAGGGCAACATTAAAAATCATAAGCTTTCACAAAAGACTACAACTATCTGGACGCAAAATCTAGACAGCTTTCTAATGTTCCTATATGTAATGTTTGTGCATATAGGAATTTGATGAATAAAATGTTTCCGGTTAGTTATATGACTGTGAGGAACACTCAATTTGTTAGATAATACTATGTTGAATATGAATGCCATTGATTATTTTAATATGAGTGTAGTTAATTAATGTTAATATATATAACCAGAGTGGCCAGTAAATTTGCTTCAAAGGTACTCTCATTGACTTTTAAATAATGATGTTATTATGAGACTTTTTGTAATCTTATTTTGATTGTCAATTCAATTAATAAATGATAGTTTACAACTAAATCAATCAAAATTTCCTGAGTTTTAGATAAATCAATCAACTTCCTGACTTTAGCAGAATCTCCAAGCTGCTGGCCACCCTGATTATTTATAAATAATAAAAGTAAATTTATAGAAAAGCATAATATTATTATTTACAGATTAAAAATCTAAATACATTTAAAGTGAGGGTATTAGTGTTAATTTGTCTATTGTCTGGTTTAAAAACCTTTAGATCTCCTTTTTGTACAGTTCTGAACTAATTTTGTTCCAACACAAGTGTTTCTTTACAATTCTATAATTTTTCTAAAACTAGGTCTCTATTATTTGCCGCTAACTTTCCTACCATTTTCTGTTAATTTCTTATTACTTCTTCTTCTTACTTTCTGTTGATTTCTTATTACTTCTTATTACAGTTGGTAATATTAGCTGTCACTAACCACTGCACCTTTGATGATAAAATACTAACACTAAAAAATATTCAATTATGATGCTGTTATTTATTAAATTTCAAAAGATTTTTAAAAGGAATATTTATTGAAAAAGCTTATAAGAATTTTCATTGCTGTTGTTTTACAAGATGAATCTGAATTTAAAACGTGTAGAAGAGCATAATATATATATATATATATATATATATATATATATATATATATATATATATATATATATATATATATATATATATATATATATATATATATATATATATATATATATATATAAAACTTTATAATAGCAATCAAAGTTTATTAAAATAATAAAGAAATTTTATTTTTTCAATATAAAAAACAAATATAACTATTTATGTAATTAGTTACATTTTTTTTAATAACTAATTATTTCAACCATTTTTCAAAAAAAAAGAGTTAAGGATATAAAAGTAATGCGAAAAACATTTATTAAGTGTATTTATGTAATGAACTTAAGAAGGAATACTTGTAAAGTTTTAATGTCTTCTACCTACAAGTATGCTCGCGCATGTTGTTTACAAAAAGATATGACATTGCACAGAAAGTCATCTATAATATTGAGTATTATAATTGGTAACTATACATTATAAATTAACATTTTGCAGAATACAAAGTATAGATTTTGCAGAACACAAAGTATAAATTAGTAGTGTATAATAAATTATATTCCTTAAAACTTAAAATATCGTCATTAATATAGTGAATATTCCAGTTTGTTCAATTATAGAGCTTCAAATGTTTTTTCAAACATTTTGAAGCTTTATAATTGAACATAATGTATATTAGATATCAGAGTATATTTAATAGTTGTAAATGAAATATAAAGATACTTAAACATAGAAACAAATCTTTTTATTTATCCATTAATCATTAATTTGTTTTAAAGATTGCAAATTTGTGATGAAGATTTCTGATTTCAACCACTGTTGATTTATCTTAATGACTGTTTATTTGTATCAATAACTCAAGCAATTGTCACACTGAAAACTATTTTAATATGACTAAAGAAGATAACTCAAGTAAAATACATATTGCTTATATGTAAATAAAAATGTAAGTAATTATTTTAATTAAATTAAAAATATAATTTCTTTTTTTAAAAAAAGTTTTTTTTATCAACCCTGATTGCATGCAATAATCATGCATAAATACTTAAATGTATAAAACTTATAATAGTGATAAATACACAAGTTTGATACCAAAATAATAACAAAAATACACAAGTTTGATACCAAAATAATAACAAAAAACACTCAATTTATGCATTAATAACATACTTTATGATTAAATTTAAAAAATTTACCTGGACAACCATAAAGTTCTGTTCTAGCACATATTCCTTCATTCCATTCTTTTGGCTTAAGTTTGATGTAACGCGCTACAATTGCTGGAGCCAGGTCTCGTGAAGCAAGTTCATAGACATTTTTATTTCCATCAATATCCTGAAAAAATTATTTAAATTTGCTATATACACACTATATTACAAATAGGTTTAAGCAAGAAAAGCGCTGACCAATCAGAAAAGAGGGATACACTTTATTACAAATAACTACAATATTAACTGTTAGTGATGAAGGTTATTTGTGGTGAAAGCTTATGGTAGTGATAGAGCGCTCGCCTCATAAGCCAGAAGTTTTGAGTTTGATCCCCACCACATCTTTGGTGGTACCGGGCTCCAATTTGTTTTTTTGTGCAGCGGCTTCCTTCGCCAAGGTTCGTGTTTTGGAGTTTTAGAGCTGAGAGAAAGTTGTAACCACAACTAAAGCAGCCTCCTTAACTCTAGTGGCCTTGCCCTTGGGTTGTTAATACACACACACACACACACACACACACACACACACACACACACACACACACACACACACACACACACACAAAGCTAATGAACAGAAAAAGACTGATGGCACGTAATCCAGTTAATAAAACAAACAAAAATATAAAAACATAAATATTAAATCATGTATTTTTTTCTGATAAGGAGCTGTCCATAAATTATGTCAACAATTTTTTATTTGCAACTTTCCCCTTCCCCTCCCCCTTGACAAATGTTTATTTGAACAGTATATCAATATTTGTGCAAGGAGCTAAAGAGCCACATCTTGACATTGAAAGAACCACATAAAGATTGGGATTTGTAAGTTGCCAAACCCTGGTATGAACCTTTAAATAATGCAGACTATGTACGTGCATAAACCTTTTTTGCTTACACAGTTCAGACTATTCAACAACAACCTTGAAAAAATAATAGTGTTACAAGTAAACATCTTGTGTGTGCTTACAAGGGTCCACCAAGGTCTGTATGTGTTGGATCTTTTTAAAACACAGTATGGTTTTTAGAAAGTAGGCTTTTAAATAGCTGTTTATAACACTGATGGTTGAGTGAGTGTGTAATACTCCAAATGCAACTTAATTTTTCTTTTTTTAAGTAATTAAATTAACTTAAAAAAATTTAAACATTGTCGACGCCAACTTGTCTTGACCTCCCCCTCCCCCATCTCTTTGTCAATAATTATTAAAAAAATTGCAGACTATCCCCCTCCCCCATTATTTTTTGGCATAATTAATGGATAGTCCCTAAGAAAAGAGAACTAAAAAAAGCATTCAATTAGAGTTGAGAAAAAAATCTATTTTTTTGTTAACATGTTTTTTTACCAAAAAATTGTTGTTTTTAAGGGCTTCCAGATTGGGTTTTATGGTTTTTATAAATTCTTAAAGTAATTTTTTATATATTTTTCTAATTAGTTCTGAGTTTTTTACATTCATTTTTAGATTATTTTAATATTAATAAAATACATACTATAATATCAAAGTACAGATTTTTTATTTCTAAAAATAATTTCCAAGTCTCTAGAACTAGTTTTTTTATTCCAAATTTTTATTCATTTTAAGTTTTGTATAATATAAAATTTATAATTCAATAACAAGCAACAATTTTATCTATCTTTTCATTCTACCTCCAGTGTGATCACAGATTATTTTATTACTTTTATTAGTTATTGTTAGGTTTTGAACATAATAACTAAATAATTACTTTAGAAATTTTCTTAAAATGTTATATTCTAAAATAATCTCATAATTTAGTTATCAGTGATAATACATTGATTATTAACAATACATAGATTAGTAATGCAATGATTGTATAACTTAAATTTACTTTTAATATAATTTATTATGAACTTTTATAGAGTATGGTGGGTATGAATAGTTAAAACGGATTGATTATTTATTAATTGATTCGCAGATATTATTGATAAGATTTAAAGATCTTGCTAACACTATAGAGAAGACTAGTTGGTCAATAATTGGAGGGGTCATAGTAGGTCATAGTGTCACAGTGGGGTCACAGTGTTCTATAGAGTTTTAAAATTGGAACAATGCTTTGGCAATTTAAATAATCAATTTTATTTAAATTGGAACAATACCATGGTCTAACAGCCAGGAAAAATAGATTCAGTCAAATATTCTTATCAAATAGTTTAAAATAATTTTTTTAGAACAATTTTGAAATGCTTTGACAAAAATGTGGTGTGAACCACAAGTTGTACAAGATTCCAATTGAAAAATGATTTTAGAAATAGAAACCAGTGTGTTTTGGATGTATAACAATAGGTTGACCTGGTTAACTGGCAAGGAAAAGTTATTTGCAAATAGTTTTGTCTTGTCCTTAGAAAATTTAATAAGATCAAACTAATAGATTAGAGATGGAATGTTAGACTTACCATTGTTAATGAAACTTTTGAAGATTTTCTAAAAGTCTCTAGGACCTAATTTCTGAGATAAGATATAGGATTTAGCAAACTGAGAATATTGGAGCTTAGCATTAGACAGCACCTTTTGGCATTAATTTCTTGCAATAATAAACAGGCATATTTTCTCAAGGGAAATGTTCTTGTGAAAAAGATGAAAATAATGATTACAATTAGAAGCAGCAACTGCAAAAGAAAGAAAAAACTGCGGAGTAGAATGAGGTTTTACTTGAAACTACTCCAGATTTTACTGGATCCAGAAGATTGTATTGGAAGCACATTTATAAGTGGAAAGACAAAAGACTTCAGTCCAAGGACTGTCAGAAAAAAAAACATGAAAAGAATTCAATTCAGCTTTAGGGTAAAAATAAGTAGTGCAATGTTAGTGAGAGTGAGTGCAAAGTAGGCACAATGATAACTATCTCAACAAACCTAAATAAACTATTTAGTAAACACAAAGTTAACCTTCTGATCAGAAATATCTTATTTAATTAAAAAAAGAAATAAAACCTTTCCATCAGCTTTCTATTACCTAAATGGTTATTATATTTTCAAAACACAACTGACAATTTTTGTGAACTAGTTACCAGTGGTGTCACTGAGGTTGGTGTCACCCAGTGCGGTGAATTTACGGTGTCACCCTCTCGACTTTCACTATGAATCTCTTTAGATTTTGCCTCTACTAGACCAAATACATAATCTGAATCCAATAATCACTTAATTGCTTAAAGACACCATTTGTCTTCCCGTGTATATAAAAATGAACGGTTATGAAACCTAACAGTTCCGACTAGACCAGGCTGAGCTATACAAATTCTAATGTCGGCAAACTCTACTGTCTGAGACAGAGCTAGGGGTAACATCAAAATGAAAAATTTCCAATTGTGACTACTGACTAGCAACAACTTGTTTCCTCTCACAATAAATGGTTTTTTTTCATTTTGGTGTCACCCCTCTGTATCAAGATGTGATGGTGTCATCCGGTACGGCTAGCACCCCCTAGTAACGCCACTGCTAGTTACATAATAAATAAGTATGTTTAGGCATATTTAAAAAACGAAATAAATGCTCATGCTTGAGTTTAACTTGATTTTTGTTCCATAATTAAAAATTTTTTATTAATTAACTATACAACACTAAGCTCTATATGCCTTTTAATTTTCTGTGCAAATATATATATATATATATATATATATATATATATATATATATATATATATATATATATATATATATATATATATATATATATATATATATATATATATATATATATATATATATATATATATATATATATATAAATATATATATATATATATATATATATATATATATAGATATATATATATATATATATATATATATATATATAATATATAATATATATATATATAATATATATATATATATATATATATATATATATATATATATATATATATATATATATATATACGATCTATAAATAAATATATACATATCTACGGTCTATAAATAAATTGTCATGAATAAGTATATAAGCTAGAAAATTTAATACAAAAAAACAGTAAATAATAATAAAAAATGCAGCTTACAGCCTTTCCCATAATATCCTTATACTCTGTCCATTTCTTTGCATCACTGCTATAATCCAATGTATATAATTTTACATATCGACCAGTGTCTAATTTCCCTTCGGTTGCTATTTTAGAAATACTAAATTCTTCACCTAAATCAAAAACTATATATTTAAAATATAGAAAAATATAATTGAATACAATGTGTACTAAAGTATGTTTGAAAATTAAAAGTATATTTGAAATTAAAATATTCAGAATCTCAAATTATTATTTTTCTATTTAACCAAAATTTAGCCCCCCTTCCTCCCCATAACAAGTTGGTAGTACGTTTTGTGGCACTACAGTACAAAACCATATTGGATGGGAACAAGACTCGTCATTAACGCATTTTGTTTTATATTTTTAATACTTTAACGCAGCATAAACAATAAAATGAAACGCAACGCGTTAATAATGCGTTTTGTTTAATGTTTTCTCCCATTTTTCAATGTTTTCTCCCATTGCACGTTTTGCGACGCTACTGTGACCCCAAAGATATTTAGAGTTAAAAATTGTAAAACTTGTAAAAATTGTAAAGTTTGTAAAAATTGTAAAACTTGTAAAAATTGTAAAGCTTGTAAAGCTTGTAAAAATTGTAAAAACTTACCGCTTTTTAAAATCGGAATTAAGTTTATGCAATCTAAAACATTCCTTTCTTTTATAAGAGTGTTTTACATGTATATATGAAACATTTGTTTTGATTTATAATAGCATATGTGAAGAATTTATAAAAATTTCAAAAGATAAAAAAATTGAAACCAAGATTATGATTAATTTTTACATAATAAAATTCATAAATTTAATAGAAAACATGATTATATCTACAACTATACATAATTTTAAAAGAGTATTTACCAAGATCAACAGCAAAATATTGCTTGTCATTTGAGATGCTCGGACACCAAGCATCAGTTGCAGTAAAATTCAACTGTGATGAGGAGGTCTTAATGTCACGAGTTTCCAAAAACCCCGTTTGTATTCCCACAGGGTCTTTACACGAATGACCTAATAAAAGAAAGATATAACACCTTTAAAACGTTAACTAAAAAGTTTTATAATAATAAACTGCTTCGAAAAATTGATTTTAAAATGTATGCTCACACTTTCAAATTATTTTGATAGATATAATTTTTTGTCGCGAAATCAATATAGGAAAATATCGATTTTGTTTAAAAATACCTTTACTTTTGCTAATTACTGATTTCCCGCTTAGTAACGCAAAGAAACATGCGTTAAGAACTGCGATTAACCTTTTATACATTTTGTTTTATATTTTATTTTGGTTTTATAATCAGTTTTATTCATGAAATGATTATATCTCCACGTTAGATAACGAGTTTGTAATATTCGCAACTCTTCAATTGACTGAACCCATTAGCTGGACTATCTCGTGCGCTTTTGCAGAATAAATATGTGCTTGGAGATGTTTTGCAGAATAAACAATGGAGACGCTTGGAAACGTCTGCTTATTCAGGTGGAACGCAAATTTTTGTTTTTATTTTCTCAAACGTGAAAAAAATTATCAATATTTTAATTATAGTTATTCGAAGCACTAACTAACAATTTGATTAGAGATTTAATTGTCCAACTCTAGCCACTTTGAGGCAGGCTCGGTTATCGGAACAAGAAAACCTGATGTTATTGCCCTTCCTTGCAATATTATCATATTGCTGTATATTGGTATCATAATCTTTACAATATTTATATATTATTAAACTATATACTATCATTTATAACTTATAATATTAAGCTATGTCTATATAAAAATGGACTTTAGTTTTATAATTAATTAATTCTTGTTATGTTTTTAAGTTCAAGTTGCAAAAAAAAAAAAAAAAAAAAAAATCAGTTTACATTCGTTTCAAACGAATTTGATTTATTTCACTGATTTTGGCGGTTTCTTTACATTGTCTTTACATTTGTTACTATAGTTTATTTTGTAACGGTTTTTATCATAGCACTATTTTACGTCTAGCGACTGTTTATGCAACTAAGTCAAACAATGGAAATTTAAAAATATATATTTATAAAGCTTTTATTTATTTTTGATTTAATCACATTTTTATTGTTTTTAAAATTTTTGTGATTTTTATTGTTTTTAAAATGATTTAATTGATTAATTTATTTTTTAATTTATTTTTTAAAGTTTACTCAATACGAAAAAAAGAGACCTGAGGTTAAAGGCAACTAAATCAGCAAATGCATTAACTGATTTAGTTAAATGGGCAATGTTATCATCATATTTAACCAAGGATGGTTTAAATGATTATGAGTTGATTGAATGCGTGGAAAAGCAGTACAATTATCTCGGATAAGTCAACGCAAAGTTAAAGAAGGATTAAATGACTGCGTAGTAGCTTAGTCGAGTAAATAGAAATGAAAAGCTGTGAAGAAAAGGCTAGTAAATTATGTAGAGATATTAAATGATGGTCAACTGGCAGCGAACAGCCTAAAAGAGTCTAAAATAGTAAAAAAGAGTAAATATGTGTTAACAATAACTTATATCTAGATTTCAAGGGTTTACAAGATGTTTTAGAAAATATATTTTCTGAAACATCTTGTATTTTTAAGATGCAGTTCCAAAATTAGAAATAAGTAAAAAAATTTAAATTTTTTTGTAGTTTGTTTTTTACAGGTGATTTACGGTTGGTTGATAATGTATTCTGATGACTAAAGAAAGCAAACTTATGATTATACTGTAGATCATTTAAAGAAGATTTAAGATGAACCTATATGTGTTTCATGCGAAACATCGGATATGTTTCTCATCTCCATAACAACATCGAATATATTCATGCGAAACATCAGGTGTTTCTCATGTTATTCCATCGAATGAGAATAACATGAGAAACAAGACCATAACATCAGAAACAAAATCAAAACATGTCATCGCATTGGAAACAAGATACGAAACATCGGAGTACCACTATGTATTACATGTTTGTTGTAGATAACAAATTAAATTAAATAAATATAGTTATAGTATGTATTAAAAAAGACGTATTTCTTTTTACATAAACCATATGCGGTATTTAAACAGACAGGATTTTGTTTAACTTTTTGTTGTTTAATTTTTTGTAATATAGTGGGACGGGAAAGTCTTAGTTTTTAATACTCCTCAATACACCAACCATTCAGATAACAAGAAAAAAAAATTTGCCTATATAATATAAATTTATTATATAGGCAAATTTTTTTTCTTTCTTACACATAATTTTTTATTAAGATTAGGTAATTTAGTCAGTTTCTCATTATATCACTTTTGCATTTAAAACTGACATTATGAAAAGTTTAGAAAATAGGAGGGCTTTTCAGATGTTAATCATGTATAAAGATAAATATTTTTTAAAATAACACCAACACTTTTGAAATTTGCATGGTTTACAAGCTACCCTCTAAATAAGAGGTCTTCAAAACTTTTTTGTGAAGTTTTTACAAATTTTTGTTGAAATGCAGTCGACACGTCAGTTGACTGTCTGGAGCCCCATAGTTTGAAGGAGCTTCAATAAACATTTATTTCAGCTATCAAAAATCATAAATTTGCGCCAGTATCAACTAATAACTCTTTTCTGATGCAATTATCTGTAAATCTTAAATACGTTGTAAATACGTAAATTTAGACAAAATACATTAAATTTGAAATTGTTTTTTCTCAATGTTTTTAAGTTTCACGTTTTCTACAACTATTTTTTGTTTATGTATATGACGCTTTACATGAAAAATTTCGTTTGTAAAAAACAATAATTTGATGATATATATAAAAGAATATAGCAGTGACACAGTGCTTGAAGCACCTTAATCAAGAGGTCTAATATTCGATGCCTGCTCTAGCCTATAAATCTCGTTAAATTTCTCGTTAAATGCTTTTCCGCACTGCCTTGTGACAAAAATGTTAGATCTTCTTAGAGCACTATAACAATGAAAAGAAAAAAAAAAGAAAATCATTTTTTAACATTTTATGTAAATGACAATATTTTTTCTCTCAAAGAATACGTACCGGTCGTATCATAGAACACTCGGAGCATTTAACAAGTCTGGCTAATATATTTTGAGAGTTATATTAAATTTTCTAAGAAAATTGCATAATCGTTTACCACTTTATACTCTAAGAAAAAATAAAATGAATTTTTTTTATTTTACAAAAACAAAGTTATTTGTCAATAAAAAGATAAGCTGATTTTTGGTCATACCGTTGTGCGTTGGATGACAAAAAGTTATGAAAAACCTGTTTCACTAATATCGTAGAAAATATTACGTTTTAATTTTGCACACAGGCGCTATGTTTAGGTACGCATGCGTGAGAAAATGCGAAAAACTTTTGAACTTTTAAAATGGCTACGGTTCTTAATTACAGAGTATATTTTATATAGCAACCGTGTTATTTGTTATTTGATCTCTGAAAACTAAATGTTGTAGCCTTATTTTTATGTAGATTAGTATATTATTACAAAAATTTTACAAAAATATAAATAAAAAAAGGATAAAAAATATCTTAGAGTACTTAAACTTTATTTTCAATTAACAACTTTTTAGTGTAACTCGTAGTTTTGTTTATTTATTTGAAATCAATTTTCTTAAAATCTGACTGTAGAATTTCAATAATTTTTTTTTAAACTTCAGATAAATATGTACTATATTTATGATATTTTTCTGGTCACTGCTTCAACTTTTTTTCAGTATAAAAATTTGTTTTTACTGTTATGACTATTTACTAATAATATTAGTAAATAATCATATATATATATATATATATATATATATATATATATATATATATATATATATATATATATATATATATATATATGCTTTTGTTACCTAAAATATGTAAATATTTTTTCGCAGTAAAATTCTTCGCAAGTAAAATAAAAAAATTAGTTATGATGCAAGTATGCATTTTTTAACTGTATAAGTGCATATATTTGCATATATAGACTGTTTAAATGCATATATTTGCATATTTATATTTAAAAAAATTTTCATTTAATAATAATCTCTAAGCAATTTAACTTGTAGAATAATTTATTTTATAGTAATTTTAGTTTTTAATTATGTTAATATTGATTTGATTTATCTGACTTACTTATTTACAGTTAAACAAAAACTGCAAAGTGAAAAATATAAATAACTTTTCGAAAGAAATGGCGTTAAGTGCGGAACATCTTCAACACATAAACTAATGAAGGAAACAAAAGTAGTTCTATATTATATTTGCAGGTTGATCATTATTTGTGTAATGCTTTTGTGATGTAATTATTATAGATTTTTTATTCAAGTATACAGAGCAAAAGTTTCATCTGCAACCAGTCTTTGCATAACTTTTGTAACAGAATTGTGCAAATCTTGTATTGAAACTATTTTTAAAATTTTCAACTCTTGTTTGTGAACGGCAATTGATGAAAATGAAGCTGAAAGATCACAAATGCTATAATTGGAATATAAGATTAAGAGCAAGAAATCAAATAAAACATTTTAGGCAGATGAACATGTAAAATTTTATGGAAAAATTTTTTGGAATTATTATGTTTTTTATTTATGCTACACCATACTTTTAGCTTTAAGAAAGGATTAAAGAAATATATTTTGTTACGCTACATTATATACTTGTTAATATAAGACAGCTTTGTATTAAAATATAAAAATACAAATATGTTATTCATAATTCAAGCCCTATATAAATATAAATATAAATATATAAATATAAATATATATATATATATATATATATATATATATATATATATATATATATATATATATATATATATATATATATATATATATATATATATATATATATATATATATATATATATATATATATATATATATATATATATATATATATATATATATATTGTTTATATATTTTACTGTTACATCAAGTATCAGGAATTAGCTAAATTACTAATATTTATAATATAAGAACGAAATTTTTGGTACTAAAAATTAATTTTGCTTTTTTTTTTTTTGTAACTTGCACTATAGTTTTGATAATATACTTGTTTTTCAACTTGCTTCTCGTGCAGCAGCCTTGTTCACTGAGGTTCATGTTTCGGAGTTATAGAAAGGGTTATAACTACAAAAGTAGTCTCCTCAACTGTAGTCGGTGTAGAAGTGAATAATTATATATATATATATATATATATATATATATATATATATATATATATATATATATATATATATATATATATATAATATTACAAACAAATATTAGCAATTTAGCTGATTTCTGGTACTGCAGGTAAAAGTAACATAAAAAGAGTTTATTATCAAAATACAATATAAGCAATTTTGATTTTATGTGGCTTTTTAAATATTATTTAATTCAACATATGATTGGAACCGTAAGTGCACTGTATTATTATCAGCTTATTTATTATTAAGATATTTTAAAAAATTTATTTAGCTATATGTTATTATTAATTTTATTAAAGTTACCTAATATTTTTAATTTCAGTTAGAGCATAAAAGTAAAATTGTTTACACTTCGTTTTGATGATAAATATTTTTCTTCTTTATTTGTTGTTGTTTTTAGTTTTTATTTTATGTTGTTGTTTTTTTATTGTTTTTTTTTTGTTGTCAAAAATATTTAACGTAATTTTTTGTTTTGTTCGTAATGTTTGTTGTATCTTTTGTTTTGTTTTGATTTTTTAAGTGTTTTTATGTTTACATTTTATTTAATTAGTTTCTGTTTACATTTTTATTTATTTATTATTTGCAATATATTTTGGTTATGATATTATAAGAGCTATGATTAATATATTTACTAAATCATTATAATTTTTTTTAGCAATAGTTGCTTTTACGTCATCGTTAGTTGTTACGTTTCTTTAACGTTAGTTGTTACGTTTCTTTAACGTTAGTTGTTACGTTTCTTTAACGTTAGTTGTTACGTTTCTTAAGTTTGCTTAACCTCTTCCAATGATGCATGAATTTTACTTAAAAGTTTCATAACAACATTATTTTTAGGTCAGGTCAGGTTTTCCTGCTACTGGTAACATGTAACCCAGTACAACCTGCTCCATGTCCTGCTGCCTTGTAGGATACGCTTTTTTAGGCAAAGGCTAGGAGAAGTTAACTCCGAATTAAAACACCCCCTGCCTTGGGGCTCTTGGTTGAGTAAAGTCTAGAGATGGTGTCTCGATAAAAATACTCATCTTGGGCAGATGTTAAATGCATCCAGCTGCTGTCTTGTAGAAGGCCTCCTAGGCAAAGACTTAAGGGGTAAACAGATTCTATCTGTTGACCAGCCTCGCACCCCTTCCTCATCTATTAGGCTGGCGCAGATGTATTTTTAATACATTGTTTCCAGTTTAGGATGTTGAACGCTGGATCTTCTTGACTCAATGCGTGGGTATTGCTTGTGTCTCTATTTTTATGACTGGGCAACTCATTCTATTATCTCCTAATGAGGGTACAGCTCTAAAACTCAGTTTTATGGTTCTGAGGCCGGCTGGTAGTCAGGTTTCCCGAACTCTGTGGTAGCTCTCAGAGAGGCTGATTCCATCAACAGCCGAAAAATATCAGAGTACTAACAGTGCCATGTTGCGCATGGATGGTGTCCCTGTTTGTACTTTTGGTGTGCATTGCAGAGGCCACATTTGGAGCCCTTTGTTACGGCTTAGGGTTTATTAATAGTAATGAGGCTATTGCTTAGTTGTTAAATAGTGCACTGAGTACTATCTATACTTGAGTCAAGTTCTTTATAAATTGAAAATGACTAAAGTACCTAAAACTAAAAAACACAAAAAACCATCGTCATCACCAAGTTCTCTAAACCTATCATTTACTAATATTCGTGGTCTTCGAAGTAACTTTTCTTCTGTTGAGTCTTATCTCTTGCAAAGTTCACCAGACCTACTTGCTCTTTGTGAGACTAATTTGAGTTCGGCTGTCCCATCTTGTGATCTTAGTGTTGATGGTTATCTTCCTTTAATTCGTAAAGACTCCAATAATCACATGCTTGGCCTGGGCATCTACATTCGTAAGAA